GAGAAGTATGGTCAAAATATTGGTTTATACCGGGATGATGGTTTGGCTGCCCTCAATGGAACACCGCAGGAAATAGAGAATATCAAGAAAGGTTTTTGCAAAGTCTTCCGCGACAATGACTTAAAAATCACAGTCGAGGCTAACATCACCAAAACCAATTTTCTAGACGTCACGCTTGACCTCTCAAGTGGGAAGTATTACCCTTTTACTAAGGAAGGCAACATCCCCCTGTACGTGCATAAAAAATCTAACCACCCACCATCCATTCTGCGCAACATCCCTGAATCAATCAATAGGAGGCTCTCCGAGATATCTTCCGACAGGGAATGCTTCGATAGTGCTAAACCTATTTATCAAGAAGCTCTCAAAAAAAGTGGGTACAGCTACACCCTGTCATTCAACGCTGCATCAAACCAGGCACCACGTCCACGAAGAAACAGGCAGCGGAATATTACTTGGTTTAACCCACCATACAGCAAGAACGTGGAAACTAACGTCGGAAAATGCTTCCTTGCACTTATTGATAAGCATTTCACAAAAACTAATCCTCTTCACAAAATTTTCAACCGGAACACCCTTAAACTGAGCTACAGCTGCATGGGCAGCATTAAAACTGTCATATCTAACCACAACAAATCTGAAATCCGGAAACTCGCACGCACTAATGATCGAGCTAGGAAAAGCTGCAACTGTAGAAAACTTGACATATGCCCCATGGATGGAAGCTGTCACATGGAAAGCATAATTGACCAGGCAGAGGTCACCACAGAAACCACAAAGGAAACGTACATTGGTCTCTGTGACACCACTTTTAAAATGCGTTACAGGAACCACTTGTGCTCATTCCGAAACGAACGTTACAGGCATGCTACTGAACTTAGCAAATATATATGGAGTCTTAAAGATAAGGACACTAAGTTTAATATTAAGTGGCGCAAGGTGAAACAAGCTAATTCGTATTCCAATGTAGCTAAAAGATGCAATTTGTGTTTGTGGGAAAAATATTTCATCATTTGTAAACCGCCAATGGCAAGTTTAAACAAAAGAAATGAGTTGACATCAGGTTGCAAACATGTCAGGAAATTCCTGTTAAGGAACGTAACGTTGCGATAGCGCATGCACTATGTTGCGCGCGCATGTACACACTGTTCTGTCTTTTAAATTTCGACGGATTGTAACCGTTATTTCTGGCAGTTGCCTGACGATTGCTTCGCAAGAGGCATGAAACTCAGAGTTGCAGATAAAGTTCAAGTAACCTAAATCTTGAAGTATAATTATAGATATATATAAAGTGTGACTTGATTTTCGTAGAACAGTGCTCAATACATAGAAGTAGAGCGAAGTATATATTGTGGGAGGAAAAAGACAAGTAAACTACAAGTTCATCCCTACAAGCCTTTTTCGTGGTCCCCCACTCATCAGGGGATTTAATGAGAATAAACTTTAACAACTAAACTGTCAATTTCGCGCTGCATAAATTACACTAGTTAGATCATGCAAATTGTATTGTATATAAGCAATGGTAAAGTTTATTCTCATTAAATCCCCTGATGAGTGGGCGACCATGAAACAGGCTTGTAGGGATGAACTTGTGGTTTACTTGTCTTTTTCCTCCCACTATATATACATATATATATAATGTGTGATAGTCGGAAAAAAAACATCTACAGATATATCCCTACAGACCTGTTTCGGGGTTGCCCACTCATCAGGGGATTTTAATGGCAGAATAATGTGATACCATCGCTTATATATTACACTAATTGTTTATGCAGTGTGAAAAGTGTCAAGTCAGCTGTTGCGTAGGAGTGCTTTGTTTCTGTGTCGGCAGGAAGAGACGAGTTCGTTACGCTTGTTGAGTGTTGATAGGTCTGGGTGGCAGATGATTAGGAATTCTTCTTTAAGGCATACGGGTTGCATCGTTTGCTTGAGCTGTTGTAGGGCAGGTGGGAAGATAGGATGCACCAGGTGATGGAATAATTCACATTGTTGTCTTTAAGTGTCCAGATGTGTTTGCTAAGTTCGGTGGAGTTGCGGTGTTTTGCGTGTCGGAATGATGAGGTGTGGTTGTTTTAGCGCGACTTAAAGTCGTTTGCAGTGAGCCCGATGTATGTGTCTGTGGTGCTGTTGTCTTTACGTGTAATGGTAGCTTGGTATATGACAGATTGTTGGAGGCAGTTTCCGTCTAGAGGGTATGAGTTTTTCTGTCGGCAGTTGCATTTCTTGTTGTTGTTTACGGTAGAGGTGTCGGTTGTGGCGGTGGCGTTAGTCTTTACGTGGAAGGTGAGGATTCTTTTGTTGTGGTTGTCGATGATTTGTTTTGTATCGTCCATGCAGCTGTAACTAAGTTTGATTGTGTTTCTGTTGAAAATTCTGCAGAGCTTATGATCTTTGGGGAAGTGTTTGTCAATCAGCGCGAGGAATTTATGTCCGATGTTAGTGCTGGTGTTCTTGGCGAAAGGCGGGTTGTACCAGAGGATGTTGTTGCATTGGCGATTCTTGTGACTTTGTGTGTGCGTTGGTTCGTAGTGGAGTGTGTAGCTGTAACCACTGGTGTTTAATGCTTTCTGGTAGGTGGGAGTGGCTTGGTCGAAGGAGGTTTTGTCGGATGAGAGGGATGATAAGCGTCTGTTGATGCCGGCGGGGATTTTTTTCGTGGTGGACGGTGGATGGTTGCTTTCGCGGTGGACGTATTGTAGTGTGGTATCGGGCTTGGTATATGGCTGGTAGGTGTTTTGGCTGAGGTTAAATGTGACGTCCAGGAAGTTGATTACTTGTTTGTTAGCTTCTATGGTGATGCGGAGTCCGTTAGCGTTAAAAATGCGGCATATCTCATTTTTGATATTTTCAGTGTCCCTGGGTGTGGCGTCGGTTGTGGCAAGTCCGTCGTCTCGGTATAGACCAATGTTTATGTTAAGATTCTGTAGCTGGGACAGGAGGAAGTCTCCGACAAGTTCACAGGTTTCGGGCCGTTGAAGCTGCCAATGGTTACGTCAAATGTAGTGTTGCCTTTTTTTTTTTTTTTCTTTTTGCCAGGGTTGCTGTTTGTGGATTAAAATCGAGCTTTTGGCATGAATAATAATGTTCCTTTCGTCGGCGGTGATGTTGTCAAAATCAGATGCGAAGTTGAATGCTTTGTTTAGGAGGTCTAGGCTGATGGATGGGTAGAATTCTTCTATGTCGAAGCAGATGAGGTTAGAGTTGTATTTTTTGTCTATAGATCGAAACCAGTTGATAACGGCTGAGGTGTTTTTCCATAGGTTGAAGTTGCTTTTTCTCGCGATGTTAGACTTGATGCGGTCGAGGATCTCTTTGCTCACTTTGCCTATTTCGGATTTCGTCGGGTTGATCAGGCGGCATGTCGGTTTGTTTGGGAAGTTCGGTTTGTGGTCTTTAAGTGTTATGAATGCGTCTTTGTTGGCTGTAGCGTCTATCCTGTCATCGATTTGTAGTTTTGTCGCGATGTCTTTGTTTGTTTTATGGATTGCTTGCGTTGTTGTGGGGAGGGATTTCTTTTAGGATTTTGTTACGTTTTTTCCACAAGATCGTTGTATTGTGCGGGTTCAAGTTTGCAGAAGCTAGTAGTTTTGTAGTAGTTTTTAGTTTTATGTGACGCTGACCTACTTGCATTAGTCTTAAAAGATATCATTATCTATTCTTTCAGGATATCAAGAAAATAGTCCTCAAGACCTGGAAGAAAGGTACGTATTATATCAAGAGAACTGGATAGCACCCTACAACGTTGCGATGAAGCATGCTGTTAAGATAAACAGATGGTCGAAAAAGCAAGCGAACGACAACAAAAAAGTTTGTTCCATTCAAAAAAACGTGCACATAGAACTATCACGTGGAGCGTAAAGCTAAAGAAGGATAGTACACATTTTCTGCTTTTTGACGGTATGAAACTGAGGCAGAATTAAGCGATAAGGCAGGCAAGCACTAATGCAATATTTTTCAATAATCTGTTTCAAAAGAATAAAAGCAATCGTGTTTTTATGTTGTTTAAGGCTAGGCAAATTAACCAATGAAAAAAAGTAAAGGAAACGTATCTACGTGGTCTTAGGCACATTATTAATTTCACTTTTTCTCTCAATAAAATATTTGTATTATAGTTTGTAACATGTGCTCCGTTCGACTAAGTACTGAGAAAGCACTATGACATGATCAGGAGAAAATTGAAAAGCAATTTAAGGGCTAGTTTTTCCTTTTTTGCAATTCTGGCAATTATATTACCAAAAGCTAGTGTATTTCTGTGTATTTCTGTGTATCTGTGTATTTCTGCCTATGAAAAGTGCTCATTTTCTCCTTATTAACTTTGCAATACATCGATCGTATGTAGTTGTACTTATAATCGGAAAAGGACGTAAATTATCGTTTTATTTATGGGTGTTTCAACAGTCAGGACAATCGAATTAAGTAACGAACGCCACTGGGTGAAGAAGATAAAGGAAGGTTCTTTATCCATAGTATGGTTGGTCTTTGTAAGATCTTCATTCCGATTTCAATTTTTTCCTACAATATTCTCTATTATCTTACACTGGCCTCTTTTATTATTGGTTATTCATTATTGATCTTATTAGTTATTATCACTTTTATCATCATCATCATCATTTTCATTATCATCCACCTCGTAATCGTGGTAGCCATTATTTTCATCATCATGCAACACAACCATAAATGATCATGAATGTGCTGCTTATTTCGTCATTTATTTAGAGGAACATGCACAAAAGACAGATGAAAAAAGGATGGCGTGCATTTCGAAATGGGACAAAAAAGGATCTTTAATTGTAGCGATTACGGAAAACAGTATAATGCTCTTCGCTTCCCTCTTACCTGTGTATCGACTCTTCACAGGTATGTAGGAGTGTATCCTGTATCCGTTCCTTACGTCCCTAGGTCATTAAAAACCTACGGTTAGTCTCTTATCTATATATTTCTGCCTATGAAAAGCGCTCATTTTCTCCCAATTAACTTCGTAATACATCGACCGTATGTCAACCGTATCGGAAAAGGATGTCAGTTATCGTTTTATTCATAGGTGTTTCAACAGTCAGGACAATCGAATTAAGTAACGAACGCCACTGGGTGAAGAAGATAAAGGAAGGGTTTTCACACAGAAATTCCAGCTTTAAAGGTTTGTTAAAGACAGTTCCTTATCCACAGTATGGTTGGTCTTTGTAAGATCTTCATTCTGATTTCAATTTTTTCCTACAATCTTGTCTATTATCTTACACTGGCCTCTTTTATTATTAGTTATTCATTATTGATTTTTATTACTTATTATCACTTTTATCATCATCATCATCATCATTTTCATCATCATCCACCTCGTAATCGTGGTAGCCATTGTTTTCATTATCATGCAACACAGCCATAAATCATTATGAATGTGTTGCTTATTTCGTCATTTATTTGGAGAAACATACACAAAAGACGGAAGAAAAAGGATCGCGTGCATTTCAAAAGAGACAAAAATGGATCAGTTAATTGATGCGATTGTGTGTTCGGGAAACCTTTTGCATGAGGGTCGTTCAGAAGGTAAGCCTTCCAAAACCTGATATGTTTACTTAATAATCTGCCTAGTTTAATAATACAAATTCCTAACCACAGTACTCCTTCGTTCTTATAATTGGTACTTGTGGAAATCGAATTGATATTCATCTCCTTCCGTTGTTTAAATCATGTTATGAAAACTTAGCCACCCAATTTGAGATTTCACATTCTTTTCATTCGTCATAGGGCTGGTAGTTGAGGTAAAGTGCCGGTACATTATTCTCTCGGAATGCCTCCGAAATGAATACAGATTATTAAAATTAGAAGCAATTTATGGCGCAATTCAACGACTACGATATGCGAGCCCATTATCTTCATCAGCAAAGCTCCCAATAGTCACAGGCTTCTCGTCGACAGACGTAGTGAAAATCAAAAATTCCCTACATCGCAATTTGCTTCCAAATCTGAAAGCTATGGAAAGCTTGTGTCTCAATGAAGTCCCTAGTTGTTTATTCTTGATACTGTTGATTAAAAAGCTATCTTGCGGTGTTCAAGACGACTCTAAATACATTTTCTTTGTGGAATTCTAATCAGCTTTCTAAGAAGAAAGACCTAATCTGTCAGTATTTAAGACACGTTAGTTAGCCCGACTTCTGCGGTTGGAAAGGTAAATGAAAGGACAAGTCCTCGCATTAACGGTTAAAGAGTGTATAGATCCGTTTGGTTTTATTTCCTTAAGAACATGATGAAAAAAAAAAAGAACTGCAGCTTGGTCGTTACGGGATGATTTCAAACGCGGCCTTATTATATACACCTCATTAATGATCTTTTAAAATGATATAGCCCCAGTTTATTTTGACAAGTTCTTTTGCTTTAATATAATCAGGAATCATATCAACTGTGAAGGAAAGTGGAGAAAAGCCTAATGCAGATCAGGTAAGGTCACTCGTTTTATATTTATGGCGACATGTTGGCCACAGAAACCATACTAAAGCCTATTAGTAAGCTTGCAAGTGCCATTTTTAGCTGTAATGTTCTGTCATTGCCGCCTCATTATTGCCGCCTCATTATTGCCGCCTCGTTATTGCCGCCTCATTGGGTAAAGCACCTTCTTCTTTTAGGTACTACTGGGTCAGCAGCTAAGCTATAATGGACAAGAGGGGGATTTTAAAGAAATAGTAAGAAGCACGAACGTCAACATATTAGGTTACACGCCCTTGAATAGAATTAGCGAGTCCACCCACGCTTGCAGTTTCAAAGGTGTCAACGTGGGATCTAACGTCTGCTTGGAAAAACATGGACGATCAGAAACCAGAAAGAAAAGGATTTCATATCTGGTAAGATATAATAGACCGAGGTTCACTTCAACCAGCGATGTCAACGTGTTTAGTTATATCAGATTGGACAGGTTATCATCAATCATGTTTTAATACAAATTGCTTTGTCCTTGCCAACTAAATAATGGCTAACCAACAGCATAAACAAGTCTCTTGCATCAAATGACAGAAAAGAACTGATTTGAAAAAAGAAAAATGAGATTTCAGTCTCGAACGATATCACCAGCTACGGGCAACATACAAAGTGATTTCGTGAATCATGATAAAAGATAGGACAATTTCATGTACGCGCGAACGAATTTGTTTATTTAAACGAGACCCGTGAATAAGGAGCTGAATTAAACGTGATTCGTAAACCATTATATTTTGCGTGATGAGTTTTCGGCTATTTTAATACATTGTTTTGGAAATGAACGGATTGTTTTCGAAGGCTGTGGTTAGGTTTTGACCAGGGTTTTCACAGGAGATGGACTTGATGTGGGTCGAAAAAAGTCATGAAACAAACCGCCAATGGTTTTTGCACAAGTAAGATACGACACTATAGTTCATCTTTTGTTGGAATGCGTAAGACTGGTTGAGATTAGAAAAAGTAAAAATATTAATTCAACGTGATTGTCTCGAATTTTGCATGAAAGTTAAAGAATCCTGGATATTATTCGTGATGCGTGAAAAAGCCAAATATATTAAGGTAACTAAGTTTTATAAGGGGTATAGGGGACCCTCGACCCTTCTTCCAAAGATCTGCCTTTCAGTCTAACCTTTTATCCTTCTTTCATTAGACGCCACCCTCTAAAAGGCGAAGTTTTAAAGGAGGCTCGAGCCGTATCGGTAAGACCAATAGTTTTGTCGTCGTTGTTGTTGTATGCTCTTATTATGGATGTGTTTGTATGACTTGGTTTACAACCACCGCGCAAAGGAGCACTTTTTTTTTGTTTCATACATGCATACATACTTACATACATAAACTTTATTTAAGTGTCAGTAAGAATTTAGCTCTAAACTAGGAGCTAATTGGGAACACTCAATAAAAAGGTGAAAATTAAAAAAGGTTTAATAATTATAACCTATTTACTAATTGTAAAATCAGATGTCTTGGTCAGGACTGGCACATTTGGCAATTGCAGCTACCACCCAACAATCCCGTTATGTCCATTCCACGAGCTGAATCCTTGAATGTTCTTATTGTCGTACTTTTATCCTCTACGACAGACCTAGATGCGCAAAATCGCAATCCGTCCACGCCCGCAGATTCAAAGGAGTCAAGGTGGAATCTAAAGGCTGGATTGAAGGTCTTGGCTGGAGAGACAAAAGAACCAGACGAATTTTTTTTATCTGCGATGAGGTGTATGAAATCGACCAACTAGCGATGTTAGCGTGTCAAAGAGTGCGTCTTTCCCTAACATAAAAAACATTCAAAAGTACATTTTTACCTTGCATTAACACTGCAACATGTGATTTTATATTCTGAAGATATGTTGTTTATGTCACACATAGAGCGGGAATATTTCTGTGCTTGAAATAAACCTTTTATGTGGACTATTTCTTTGTGTAATATATGTGTATTTCAATTAAGCTACCGCAATCATGAAGATCTTACAAGAGGCTCAAAAAGGACAATCCGTATAGCTCAGTTTTATCAATTTTATAGCTTATTTTTACCGGATAGCTCAATTTTTATCACAACACGAGGAAAACATAATTTTACACAGCCTCGAGAGATAACATGACCGGAGCTAGACCGAATCTCGCTTTTGCGAGCAAAGTCTAATAACATTCATGCTAACCTGATGATATAGGACAAAACACTTTTTCAGCTCCTCCAGATCATCCGAATTGTATGAAAACTTCCTTTTAAAGCACGTAAGAGTAGATTTTACATTTCATGAGATGTTCACGGCTGTTGTTTCCGTACTTCTGTTGACTGTAGAGGTTTCCATCACCTTATTAGATTTGTGCTTTAATAATAGCACCCTCTTGTAGAAAATAAGCCAAAATTCATTCTGATATCTTCTGCAAGGAAGATTTCCCATAAAAAAAAACTCAAGCCATGTGACTCATCATTTGCGTCCAACCACGGGAAGCCCAAGCTCACATATACCTCCCTGAACCACGTTGAGCAATTGGATTTGCATTGGAATGAACAGACCTGCTCTCAACCATAAAATACATAGATTTCTTTTGATTTAGGACAAATTAACCCCGCTGAAAGGAATGTTCTTTTGCAATGTGTAAATTTGTTGGGCTGATTAAGGGCCATCAAGGGCCGTGACGCCAATCAAACAGATCCACATGCAGCGTGGGCAATGATGTTATCTTAGGCTTGTGTCGCACGTTCCAGGGTCATGTACAATAGCGTGCAATTAAAGGTTGCAATTCCAACCTAAGGATTTGCTGAGCTTTAGGATAAGGCGTTAATGGATATCATTGTACCCAAATCGATGGAGCTTTCAAATTGTGGTGCAAATTACTAACACTCGCGGCAAGGACTTGTGATTGTGTGACGCGAGGCATGCTCGATAGTTTTTATCAGTATTTCAAAATGTTTTCTCGTAATTCAAGATTTCGCACAGAATTGTACGCAGCAGAAAGACGTAGTGAAAACGATTTCACGGAGTATTATATCGCAAGATATCTTGCATCTTGCCTCATGGGAGTTGGACAGCGTAAGTCAGCGTTATTTTCAGTGCTTTTTCGTTTTCCTTCTCCTTCCATTCGGTTTTTATGTTTAGCTAGTATTCCATTTTTTCACCATGTGATTTAAAATTTTAATACAATAAATCTGAAGTAAATGTACTAACGTGGCTTTCTGGTTAAAACTGCGTACCCTCGATTGTCCTTAAATCGCAGTCGGGAAAAGGACGCTTTTGTCAATTTTAAGTAATTGGACCCGGGAACACGGGTCGCACCGACACATAATTAATTCCACAGGAACACTGTGAGCTTTGCATTTAACAGGTTAACAATAGCGCACCACAACCGAGAAGTCATAGTTACAACGAAATAAATCAACAAATAATTAATCACCTAGATACTGCAAATATATTAAAAGTATGATCTATCAATATCAAAAGTTGGTTTTTTTCACACTATAGGATGTGAGGAGATATTTGCGTTGTTTTGATTACAAAGCAGATCGGTCGAAATCGTCTTATGTAGATTAAAAGAGGTATTATGAATTCCTCTAAATCATCTGAATAATGTGCACATTTCCATTTGCGCATCCCACAACGGCAGATTTTCCATTTGACGAAATGTTCACGGCTGTTATTTCCGTGTTGTTGACTGTGAAGGTTCCCATCACCTTATTAGATCTGACCTCCTGCGCTTTGACAACACCTTCCTGTAGACTGTAAGCCAAAAGTCCTTCTGATATCTTCCGCAAAGAAGATTCACCGTTAACTACGCTCAATCCAGAAAATTTACCAGGAATCTGAGATGTCTGAACCGTCGATCCATCTCTATCTATGACATGGAAAATACCTTCATCGACGACCGATGCAGCGTTGTAAGAAGATCTCCTCTTTGTCCTGCCACTCCTGACTTTTTTAGATGCAGATATGTGATTACGACACTGAACAAAAGTTACCAGGTAATCGCAACCAACTTTCACCTGACGAATGATGGTGGGGTGTAGGGATATTTGGACTTTCCAGTTCGTGTGGTCGTTTAGATCCCACAAGTGAACCTCGGCAGGCCCTTTCATCCAATCCTGAGAACTACTTTGCCTTGGTACACTTATAGCCACAAGTCTGCCACATGTGCTTGATATGGCTGCTTCTGTGATCTGTTTGGAGAATGTTAGGGGACAATATCACTGCCACCAAATCACAATAATTATATGCCAACTCAGAAGAAAATCTTTTGAAGCCAAGTGTCTCTTTTCTAATTCATTTTCAGTAAGTTCCTAATTTGGCATTTCGATCCAGATTCCAATCAGTTATTTTCTCTTTTGTCGCTACTTTGATTCAGTTAACTTCTTTTGGTCAATCCTAAGATGATTAATGAATGTCAGATCTACAGACACCCTCGTTGGAAATAATGCAGCCTTCCTGCCCAACCTATGTCTTTTCGCAAGTTTAACAAAGAAATAATCATCAAGAGGCCTTGAAGGACTGGCAAAAGGCTCACCGGAATGTGGAATTTGCCCCTTGTTACGTCCCCCGTGTCAGAACTATTGTATGGCACTGATGATATTTTCTAACATGAACAAGAAACGCTTTTTTCTGGCAAAGCCAGCCATTATCAAATGTATGAATGTCAAATGTACTGCCAAAAAAATTTTTACAACTCTTCCAACAGTCATAAACTTATGTATATATGCACGATCCTTCGCAGTAAAGCACTATTTGAGCAATAGTGAAAATCAGACCTGAAAAAAATTTCAGGCTTGTACGGGATTCGAACCACTGACCTCTGCGATACTAGTGCAGCGCTCTACCAATTGAGCTAACAAGCCAACTGGGAGCAGGCCATCAAATTAATTCGACATAAACCCGTAGATGATAAATCAAACAACAACAAACATATGAAACATATGTATGAACTGCGGTTATGAAACGTATATGTGCACGATCCTTCGCAGTAAAGCACTATTTGAGCAATAGTCATAAACTTAGTCATAAACTTAGCAATAGTCATAAACTTATATTACCTTGTTTCCACTGTCAACTGAAAACCTCTGCTCAAATGCTTCTCTTTCATTCAGATCCATTGGTGGCGGATCTTTGAGCTCATGTTTTGCCCATTTCTCCAGACTGTATCTATTGACAGCGAGATAGAGTCTTACAGTTTCAGGCTCACTTTCCGTAATCAAGCAGGTGTACAAGCCGTCGGATGTGAATTTGGTGAAGAGGTGTTGGACAGTCAAAAGTGTAAGAGTTCTGATACGAATGAAAAAAGAATCAGTCAATCAATTACTCAGTGTGCCAAACGTGTATTCCGTCACTTGATTTTATTTGAGCTGCCTTCGTAGTAGTCAGTCGGTATGTAAGTTTCTTGGTTCGTGAGTCCGTCAGACTGTCAATCCATGGGTCTCAATCTATAGTTCTCTTAGTATTTAAGACATGGCCTGTACGTCTGTCAATCAGACGACCAGCTTTGCCGTCAGTACTATGAGCAGTAACATTATTTTGTAGGGCAGTCACGTATGAGTGAGCAATCGTTTAAGAGGCTTGTAGGGATAAAAAAGTAGTCGTCGTATTTTTCTACAAACACACACACACACACACACACACACCTAATCATTTACCGACCGAAACTTTCTACACCCAACAAACGCAATGAAATCGCGTCTTCTTACCGCCATAGAAACGAAGCTCTCTTACGCAACAGCTGAACTGTTAAACTTCGCCCCGCATAGATTAGATATATGTCTATTATTGTTATTACGTAAATTATTTTGTATATAAGAAGCGATGGTAAAGAATATTCTTATTAACTCCCCTGATGAGTGGGCAACCACGAAACAGGCTTGTCGGGATGAAAGAGTAGTTTATTTGTTTCTTTCTTCCACAAACATATACTTCGCTCTACATTAAAGTATTGCGCACTGTTTTACGAATATCTACGTTCTACACACTTATATATATATATATATATATATATATTATATATATATATATGATATATATATTATATATATGATATATATAATATATATATATATATATATATATATTATATATATCATTTTGAACGTGTCTGCACTTGGTCCCACAAGTGTAGCGCCCAGGCAATGGTTTATTCCAGAGCTTGGCCCAGTGTCTGCACTGCACTGATGAGACCCACATAGGTCGAAACAGTGTGCACTGTCTGCAGTTAGATAGCTCTCGCTTGGCTTTGCCTTTTGGCTACCTTGCGATTGAGCACTCTACACTGGGGTTGCCATGCACTTAGCCTTCGGGCGAAGCTCATCACCTTAGTTGTGATTTGAGCACTCTCGCATGGCAACATGTCTGCACTTGGTCCCACAAGTGTAGCGCCCAGGCAATGGTTTATTCCAGAGCTTGGCCCAGTGTCTGCACTGCACTGATGAGACCCACATAGGTCGAAACAGTGTGCACTGTCTGCAGTTATATAACTGACCAGCTGACTTATATATATATAAGTCAGCTGGTCAGTCGGTTCGTCAGCCCGTCATTTGATCTATCAGTCTCTCATCCTGCAGTCCACCAATCGTTTAAGCATGTCAGCTAATCAGTTCAGTCAATCGTCCAATCAGTCAATCAATGAATCCGTTGATCGATAATCAGTTATATAACCCAATTAATCAGCTGGCCATTGGGAAAGAAAAGTAAACATCACCTGTGTGCTCCCATGAGAAGACTCCTGTCAGATCCATGAGGATCAACACCTGACTTGAGATGCCACACATCCACACCAGTCTCAACAAACACTGATACAAATGATGCGTCTTCAGAGAAACAGGGGCAGGTGCCACTGGCTACAAGGAAAGTACTGCAAATGAAAATTACTCGGATCTCCATAGTAACAAATTAAGAAGCTACATGATTTAGGTAAATACCTTGGAAATACTGCACATTTTCACTTACATACATAAATAACTCATTTAAGCACGACGTGTGAACTTTTTACAGTTCTAGAAACAGCTAATTTAACCGTGTTAAAAAAAAATTAACTATCACCTAGAAACTTAAAAAATGCTACACACCGCCAGTAAAAGTGGAACGCATCCTCAAGGTGACCGTCTAAGCAAGGTTGATTCAGACCATTTTTATCGTTAAGACTCCACTTAATGTAACAAGCCTAAACCAAAGTGCACCCCCATAAAGCATTTGTATAGCAGATCAGCATTAGTTTATTTGTGGGGAAAAAGGATGTGTCATAGACAATTGCCTTTTTTACCTCTATTGCCAGAAGCAGGGTGTAACCGATGTAGTCGGTACACAGGTGGTTGGGCCTGCCATACCCATGTCTCAGTCAAGGAACAACTTACTGCTAATTCATTATCATTGGAAAATGTACACTCTTGAACGAGACTGCTGTGGTTCTGAAAAAGGCAAAATCATATAAGGATTTCACACATAACGGCTGAGAACACTTAGACTTGTAATAGTAATATTCAACGGTGTCTCCTATAGAGATGAGTATTTTTACTAAAAGTAAAGCTTGAGTTTATCTTCATGTTGCCATAATTTGTATTAAGGAATGTGACTATTTCTTAGCTTGTCTCAGTTATACTGTACGACATAAGAAACTCTGAGGGAAGGCTGGCCTTGTCCAAACCAAACACCAATTCTTTGAAACGAAGCTTCTCTCACAGCGGGGCAATGTTATGGAATATTTTGCCCAAAAACTTAAAAAATGCTTCATCCATTAACCATTTTAGGCGAAATCTTAACGTAGTCGATATGTAGGATTCCCACACGACAATCATGTAAAGCAGTTGAATAATCTTAGTTTTTATTAGGTAACTGATGGTTTTCCGTGTTTAAATAAAGATTTACATACATACATACATACATACTGCACGTTTCATCTAATTCGCTACATAAAGCTTCAAATCGCACAGTTAAAGAAGCAGATATTTTCCTATTTCTTAAAACCTACACTAATTTATTTCAGCTTAGTCGACAAGCTAATGTTTATTGGTGAGCAACTGACTTGGTGACAACTGACTTACTGGAAGCTTGACTACTTTCGGTGAAGGCATGTTTCTCGTATCCCATAGTTGAACGGTGCTGTCATCTGAGGCTGTTGCAATTAAGGGATGACCGCTTTCCCTGTTCCCAATACAGCAGGTTCGAATTTCACCCGAATGGCCTGTCAGTATTTCCCATTCTGGACTTTTATCGTACGGTTTAGGAGCCATGCACAATACCTTCAGTGAGAATAAGATATGGAAAAATGTTTCGTCTTGTCACCAGCATAAGACAAAGAAGAAAATCTGAACTCCCCATGAGGAGTCGAACAGTCGAACCTTTGACCTCGGATTCCGCGCTTTGATGCTCTACAATAGAGCAGAAAGGACCGATATGTTGGCCTAAGACATCATTAAAGGAGTAAGTTTCTAAAGAAATTGTGGTACTACGTCGGTGGGGGTAACAAGGTAATTTGATAATATCAACTAAGTTGAAATTGTAAATTGGCCACCGTGAAGAGTTAAAAAGCTGACGTTTCGAGCGTTAGCCTTTCGTCAGAGCGATGACGAAGGCCTAACACTCGAAACGTCAGCTTTTTAACTCTTTACGGTGGCCAATTTACAATTTCAACTTAGTTGATACTACCAAATTACTAAGACATCATTGGGTTTATTGCGATAGAATAGATGGATGAAAAGATGGACGAATGGTAAAATAATAGATCTTGAGATGCAATGAATAAATGAAGTTCATATATTTTGAACTGCGGTATTAGATACGTATGATGTGCGATCCTCGCAGTAGATAGCGCCATTTATGCAATAGCGAAAATCAGACCTGAAAAAAAAATCAGGTTTGTACGGGACTCGAACCACTGACCTCTGCGATACTAGTGCAGCGCTCTTCCAATTGAACTAACAAGCCAACTGGGAGCAGGCCGTTAAATTGATTCGTAATAAACCCGTGAAAGTGATGAATGAGATGCAATGAATATTTAGAACATAGCTAGCAGAGTCGCGCATTCAAATTCATTATACGTAAGCGTG